TACGGTGGTTGGTAAGAGCGGTGAGCATTGCCTGAGTAACATCGTTGGTTGGGTTGCTAAATCAAATGAGTATCGATATTGGTAACGTGAGTAATGAAGTTGGTAGGGTGAGTTCTAACGTGAGTAATGACGTTCGTAGGGTGGATAGTGCATGAGTACGGTCGTTACTGTGGTGAGTATTGCATTAGTAACTCAAGTATAAAAACTCACCCTGTTACCAACATTACCTTAGTAGGGCCTTAGTATTACCTTAGTTTTGCACTGAGTACAGTGAGTATTACGTTAGTGAGTATTGACAACTCAGTTTACCTGAGTACTTTTTTCTTTCAGTGTGGTGCTCACTTATTGGCTGATCTAACTCACATCACCAGGGTGACTTCGTTATGCGTGAGTTCTGAGTGCTTAGTTTCGTGAATTCGAACTGAGTCGGAAATGAGTTTTGCTTGGGCAAATCTAGTTTCCTGCGCAATGCATGAGTTCTTGCGAATTCATGTGCAGTTGTGCGTGAGGTACCCCCGGCTTGAAGATGCGCGCATGCGCGGCAGGGTGAGTTTCCTGCGTGATGCGTGAGTTCGCGTGATGAGTATTATAGCCGTTGCGTTCGAAAACCGCGGCGCGCGCTTCAGTCCGTTGTGGCGCGGTGACTCGCGTAGTTCACGTTGAATTGTTGAGGGCTGAGGCTATTGTGAAATTGTGCAGGAAAGTGCAGGAGCGGGGAAGGCGTGCAGCGAAGGATGGGTAAGTTATCTGTGAATAACTCGGTGATTGTCGATGAAGCTTTTATCAATCGCATGCGCCGCGGAGAACAGGGAGGTGAACTGATGGACCAGCAGACATTCCCCGCCGGCGTCAGGAGGTCGGTGCAAACCAAGGTGCAAACCGTGAACGGCGGAGAAGATCGATCGAGAACCTGAGGGATACCTACCCGGCATAGTTCGAGAAAGAAGAGGTGAGTTATGTTATCTTTAAATTAAAAAACATGTTTGTGGGGTAATGTTGTCCTTATCCTAAAAGAACGTTCATTTGACCCTTTTTACTTCTTTAAACAAGAGCTCCGTCACGACCCGATGTTTTTTTTGGGGGGGGGGGGGCGAAGGTTGTTTGAAGTCGATTCTTTCCATGCAGCACCCATAGGCACAATGTTAAAAATGTAAAATATTGGGGGACACGTCCCCCGTACCCTCCCCCCCCCCCCCCCCCGGTGGTGGAGCCCATGGTCTTAACTCCGCTCGCTGAATCGTTTAAGATTTTTTTGTCTCGTTTGTGCTTATTATTTTTCCGACTGTTATTATTTTTTCCGACTGTTTTTTTTAATGCCTACACACATATTTTCGTACACTATTCGATTTCAGCGAGCATTTTCAACCTTTCTTACAGTTCTGGCGCGAGTTCGACCGGGTGGTGGTTGCTCAGCCGGCTCGGAGCCGGCACTGACCACTACGAGGCCTCGATGCAGCGGCTTAAATCATGGCTAAGCCGAGTTCAGGCGGCATGCTTCAGCACAAAAGGTTTGTGCTTCATTATCTGTTCATTTTTACACAATAAAATAAGGAAAAGCAACGTAACTAGCAATTAAGTATGTGAACGTGCTTCAATATTATACATACATGCATCAATACAAACATTAATTGCGTGTATCATTTGTACATTAACTGATGAAGATTATTATTATCCACTGATTATTATTAAGATTATACAATATTATATATATATATATATATATATATATATATATATATATATATATATATATATATATATATATATAAGCTGGTCAGGCCCGGCTGGTCAGCTGGTCAGGCCCAGCTTATATATATATATAAGCTGGTAAGCTATAAGAAGCTGGTCAGGCCCGACAGCCTCTCTTCTCTGGGCTGTCTCCACGCCGACAGTCTCGGCGCCGCCGCCGGCGTCGTCAGGAAGCAGATCAGGCTCGTCAGCCTGTTCTCGCCCGCCTCCTCCGGGAACGTCAGGCCGGCGGACAGATGTATGACACGGGGAGAGTCGCTCGGCATGGACTCTGATGCCACCCTCCAGCTCGAACGACACGGGACCACGCTGTGCGGTGACGACACATGGCTTGGAAAACCGAGGTTTTCCCTTGCGCGGCCTTGGCATCAGGCGATAGCGAACGAGATCGCCTACCTTTATGTCGGGCTTCCTTGCCGTTCGGTCATGATACCGCTTCATCTTTCGCTGCTTCTTCCGGACGTGCTGTTGGATGGCGCCGTCACCTCTGCAGTCACTGCTCTGCACCACGGCGTTCTCCAGTGACGTCCGCAGCTGGCGTCCGTGCAGCAGCTCTGACGGGCTGCGTCCCGTCGTGGCGTGCGGCGTCGCCCGGTACACCATCAGGAACTGCTGAACGTGCCGCCGCCTGTCTGCCTTCTGCTGCTCACCTATCTGGATGGCAGACTTCAGACTGCGGTTGAAGCGTTCCACAGCTCCGGAACCTGCTGGATGATACGGGGACACCTTGATGTGTTTGATCCCGTTAGCCTGCAAGAACGATGCAAACCGTGCTGACGTGAAATGGGTTCCATTATCACTCACCAGCTCTATCGGCCAGCCTTCTCTGGTCGCCACTGACGTCAGGAATTCAATCACGGCGTCTGTACTTGGCTCTGATACAAACGCCACCTCCGGCCACTTGGAGTAGTAGTCTGTGAGCACTATGCCGTACCTCTGATTTGCCGGACCCTGCATCGGACCAATGAAGTCCACTCCCACCTTGTCCCACGGCGCAGTAGGCAGCGAGACCGGGATGAGAGGCGTCCTGGACGTCTTGGTCGACTTGTCCGCAACAGAGCAGGTGGGACAGTTCTTGACGGCTGTCTCCACCTCGCCGTCCATCCCTGGCCACCAGAAGACTGCGCGCAGACGCTGCTTCGTGCGCACTATCCCGGGATGGCTTTCGTGGGCAACTGTCACCACGCGGGTTCTGAGGGCAGAAGGAACAAGTATCCTCTCACCTCTGAACACCACACCCTTCTCGATGCTCAGCTCGTTCCTGTACCTGAAGTAGGGCTTCAGCACAGGCGGCACCTCCCTCAGTTTCGACGGCCAGCGCTGTGGGATCTGCGAGATCAGCGCCTTGACCTCATCATCTTCAAGGCCTGCTGCGGCGATATCAGCGCTGCTCACCGCCGGCATCATCTCCTCCAGGGCTGCGACCAGCTGGTCCTCGTCTTCTGCAACCCCATGACTGCCGGGAAGGCGTGAGATGCCATCAGCCTGGTTCAACTTCCCCTCGATGTGCTGAACCTGAAACGCATAGTTCATCAGCTTGACGGCCCAGCGAGACATTCGCATACTGGCCCGACCGATGCCCTTGGCAGACAGCAGAGAGCGAAGGGCAGCGTGGTCCGTCCCCAAAACGAACTCCTTGCCCCACAGGTACTTGTGCCACTTCTGACACGCCCAGACGCATGCCAGGCCCTCTCTGTCAGTTACGCTGTACTTGCGCTGTGCTGCGCTGAGCGTGCTGGAGGCGAATGCCACCACTCTCTCTCCGTCTGGGTGGATCTGTGAGAGAACGGCCCCGAGACCAACGTCGCTGGCGTCGGTCGTGACGAACGTCTGCAGACTGGGGTCGAACGGTGCCAGCGCAGACGAGTTCAGGATCGCCGACTTCACATCCTCCAGCGCAGCTGTCATCTCCTCCGTCCACCGGAAGGCTGGGGCGTCTGTCCTCAGCGGCTGCCGCTGAGGTTCTACCCGAGAGCTGAAGTTGGGAACGAACTTGCTGTAGAACGCGAGGGACCCCAGTGCCGCCTGGAGCTCCTTGGTGTTCTGGGGTTGTCCCATGTCTCGAAGACCTTGGACCCGATCTGGTGAGATTTCGATCCCACGCTCCGACACGACGAACCCCAGGAACTCCAGCGACACAACACCCAGCAGACACTTATCCCTGTTCAGCGTGATGTCGTAGTCCTTCAGCCGCTTCATGACGGTGCTGAGCCTCGCGTCGTGCTCTGCACGGGTGGGCGCTGTGACCAGTACGTCATCCAGGTAGACTTGAACACCAGGGATGCCTTGCAGAACAGTCTCCATGAGCTTCTGGAAACACTGCGGAAGACTTTTGAGCCCAAAGCAGCACCGCTTGTACCTCCAGGTCTGACCCTCATGCACGAAAGCAGTGAGGTTCCTGGACTCCTCGTGCAGCTCCAGTTGATGATAGGCTGACTTCATGTCGAGCTTGGACATCACCTTGGCACCTCGGAGCTTGTCCAGCATCTCCTGCATCGGAGGGATGGGGTAGCCGTTTGCGACAATGGCTTTGTTCACCGCCGTCAGATCGAGACACACTGAAAAAAAATTTACTCACTTTTCTGAGTAATGACTGAGTTGCCATTTTGTCCAATGGTAAAACTCACTCTAAATCCGCGTACTCAGGTAAAACTCAGGGCGGAACGCAGGTAAAACTCGGGCAAAACTCATTGCAAGTGAGTAGCATGTGAGTAACAAAGTGAGTTGCCATTTTGTCCGATGGTAAAACTCAGATAACAGTCATTAAGTACTCATGCGTAACTCATGTCCTACTCAGACAACTCAGGCCAAACTCAGGTAATAGTAAGTCATTACTCATGAAAAACTAGGAAGTAACTCACATGTAACTCAGCTGGTACTAATGTATAACTCAGGTGGTAGTACGGCCATAACTCAGGTGGAACTCATCGGTTATTCAGTGAAAACTAGGGCTGTACTCAGGACGTACTCATATCGATAACTCATGCGATACTCGGGTGTTACTCAGGCGCCGCTCAAGCCAATGTATAGGCTCGCCGCCCATGATGACAGCTGCCGCATCAGCATTATGCAATATGCATGCATGATGCTGATACAACAGCCACTACCAGGCAGCTAGTCTATATATTGGGATTGGCCAATATATGTATAACGAATCATTGCCCAAAACCAGCATACATATCTGTATTATACCATGCCCGACCAACGTCTAGTCTTGCACTATTCGCCCCAGCCCTTACAAGAAATATATGTTTGTAGAAACGGTCGCATTGCGCTGTATTTCAATTCTGACACACGCCAAACTGCGTCGGGGGAGGGATCGACTCCACGTCAGCTCAGCTTCACTCTTTTGCCAGCTTCTCGACCTCAGTCTTCGCGGCTACAGGTGGCTGGCGCTCAGCATTGAATGGTGTGTGGAGCACATGGATACACACAAACCACAGCGTGTTTCGCACTTTGTGCGCCGTTTGTTGATTGAGCACAAAGTGCGCCGTCGCCCACAGCAAAAGACTCCCTTCCAAACCATGGATCCCCACAAGACTTCCGTTCGCTCCACGATGAGGCGGCACCGTTCGTTTCCTTCGGACTTGTTATGATGGGGGTGATCCAAATTTTCGTCACCCGTGTACGCCACCACTGACGCCTTCTCCGCCAAGATGCAGAGGAGGCTCAATGGGCCGTTCCCTGAAAACACAATAAAAAAGTCAGATTTTCTTTTGCCAAACGGAAGTTATAGGGCATGCAAGTTGATTGAAATATCAAAAGTTATCAAGTAACTTCAGCTCAAAATTAATGTTAAACCGCGCCGTGCTGGTGCTCTGAGTTTACCGTGATGTACTGGGGGGGGGGGAGGGGTCGTCTTCACGTCCCCTCTTCTAACTCGGCTGTTGGGCCACGTAGCGACACGCAGTAAGCGGCATTCGAAAAAGCAAAAAAGATGTTTAAGGAAATACTTGGGTAATTTTTAAGGTCAAGTCAAGTGCCAGGTCACCAGAGGTCAAGAAAGGCCAAATTTTGCTTATTTCAATATTTTCGAAAAACTGGTGCTTAACTCGGAACCAAAAGAGCTGCCCGCGGAAAAATGCAGTCAAAAGCCCTTTCGACGTTTTTTTTCTGGCGTTTGATCTCAGATTTGACCTCAGGTCAACAATTAAGCCTCCAGAGAACAAAAACTCTAAAAAGCCGTTTTTACGAAAATGTTTTCTGTAATACTTTCCACTCAAGAGTCACGACATTTATTTTGCCGTTAGCATAGTGTTCCTCTCGTCGGGACGAATGAACTATAATTAGACCTTGAAAGGCCATTTTTAAAACTTGACCTCAGGTTGATCTGACCAGGTCATGTTGCATATCAGTCGATCCAAACCGTCAAGCTGAACACATATGAGGTGTTTGATTGCACTAGCAAATATATTTTATACATGCCGTAAGGTTGATACTTGAGACATGGGACAGTATCAAAAACGCTATAAAATGAAATCCGTTCGATATTTTTTTGACATTTTACCTCAAACTGCTGTGAAATCGAGCGGTGAATTCTCTTGGTCAGGAAAGGCCAAATTTTGCTTATTTCAATATTTTCGAAAAACTGGTGCTTAACTCGGAACCAAAAGAGCTGCCCGCGGAAAAATGCAGTCAAAAGCCCTTTCGACGTTTTTTTTTGCTGGCGTTTGATCTCAGATTTGACCTCAGGTCAACAATTAAGACTCCAGAGAACAAAAACTCTAAAAAGCCGTTTTTACGAAAATGTTTTCTGTAATACTTTCCACTTAAAGGGACCCTCCCACCTTCAAAAAAGTTTATGAATTGGCATGAAAGTGATGTCGCTCGGTTCAGAAAGAGCGAAAACGAATATCTACCAAATTTCACCGAAAAATATTCACCGGTTTTCAAGATATTAGACTTTTACTTTTGTTTACTTTTTGGGATCTCCGCTGTTCCTAGCGACTTTATTTAAAAGTGCGGCATTTGTTGCGCGCAACGCAGCATATACCACCGCGTGCTACAAAACGTTTTAGTCAAACATTTAACGGACGTTCGAAAGCCTGATGACGTCATCAGATTCCCGTAATGGTTAAGAGATAGGGACCACGCTGGTCCCACCCTGCAAGTAAAGGGAAGAAATTTCTTGAACACCATAAAGCTGCGGGGGTTGCGACCAGGATAAATGGTGGTTTCTGAGCCTGGCCGCAAACTTGGCTATCTCAACTCAAAACTAATGTTAAGGTGGGAGGGTCCCTTTAAGAGTCACGACATTTATTTTGCCGTTAGCATAGTGTTCCTCTCGTCGGGACGAATGAACTATAATTAGACCTTGAAAGGCCATTTTTAAAACTTGACCTCAGGTTGATCTGACCAGGTCATGTTGCATATCAGTCGATCCAAACCGTCAAGCTGAACACATATGAGGTGTTTTATTGCACTAGCAAATATATTTTATACATGCCGTAAGGTTGATACTTGAGACATGGGACAGTATCAAAAACGCTATAAAATGAAATCCGTTCGATATTTTTTTTTGACATTTTACCTCAAACTGGTGTGAAATCGAGCGGTGAATTCTCTTAGCAAAAATGACAAAAATATCGAACGGTTTCCATGGCACGTTGCGAACGGTGCGATCGTCAGCGACCATTGAAAAAAAAAATTCTGATGTTAAGTCATTTGACGTGACCTGACCTTGAACGACCTGGGTCTAAAATTTCTTCCATATGCAGAAAAAAATGTATGAGCAGGTGTGCCGAAAATGGTGGCGCTGCGCGACGCCGTTCTTAGATATCCGCGAAAAACCTGAGGGGGCGGGGGGGGGGGGGGCGTAAAACGCCACCCAGCACAGCGCGGGTCAAGGTGGGATGGTCACCTTAACAGACGGGTTTTAGTCTCGCAAAACACTTCCATGGGCGTCCAATATTAAAATCAACTTGAAACAATCACATAAAATGTGTTATACTTAACAATAATGGAAATAATTATGTCACGTCCAAACGCGTCTCGCCGCGGTATCTAATAATCTAATATATATATATATATATATATATATATATATATATATATATATATATATATATATATATATATATATATATATAATATTGTATAATCTTAATAATAATCAGTGGATAATAATAATCTTCATCAGTTAATGTACAAATGATACACGCAATTAATGTTTGTATTGATGCATGTATGTATAATATTGAAGCACGTTCACATACTTAATTGCTAGTTACGTTGCTTTTCCTTATTTTATTGTGTAAAAATGAACAGATAATGAAGCACAAACCTTTTGTGCTGAAGCATGCCGCCTGAACTCGGCTTAGCCATGATTTAAGCCGCTGCATCGAGGCCTCGTAGTGGTCAGTGCCGGCTCCGAGCCGGCTGAGCAACCACCACCCGGTCGAACTCGCGCCAGAACTGTAAGAAAGGTTGAAAATGCTCGCTGAAATCGAATAGTGTACGAAAATATGTGTGTAGGCATTAAAAAAAAACAGTCGGAAAAAATAATAACAGTCGGAAAAATAATAAGCACAAACGAGACAAAAAAATCTTAAACGATTCAGCGAGCGGAGTTAAGACCATGGGCTCCACCACCGGGGGGGGGGGGGGGGAGGGTACGGGGGACGTGTCCCCCAATATTTTACATTTTTAACATTGTGCCTATGGGTGCTGCATGGAAAGAATCGACTTCAAACAACCTTCGCCCCCCCCCCAAAAAAAACATCGGGTCGTGACGGAGCTCTTGTTTAAAGAAGTAAAAAGGGTCAAATGAACGTTCTTTTAGGATAAGGACAACATTACCCCACAAACATGTTTTTTAATTTAAAGATAACATAACTCACCTCTTCTTTCTCGAACTATGCCGGGTAGGTATCCCTCAGGTTCTCGATCGATCTTCTCCGCCGTTCACGGTTTGCACCTTGGTTTGCACCGACCTCCTGACGCCGGCGGGGAATGTCTGCTGGTCCATCAGTTCACCTCCCTGTTCTCCGCGGCGCATGCGATTGATAAAAGCTTCATCGACAATCACCGAGTTATTCACAGATAACTTACCCATCCTTCGCTGCACGCCTTCCCCGCTCCTGCACTTTCCTGCACAATTTCACAATAGCCTCAGCCCTCAACAATTCAACGTGAACTACGCGAGTCACCGCGCCACAACGGACTGAAGCGCGCGCCGCGGTTTTCGAACGCAACGGCTATAATACTCATCACGCGAACTCACGCATCACGCAGGAAACTCACCCTGCCGCGCATGCGCGCATCTTCAAGCCGGGGGTACCTCACGCACAACTGCACATGAATTCGCAAGAACTCATGCATTGCGCAGGAAACTAGATTTGCCCAAGCAAAACTCATTTCCGACTCAGTTCGAATTCACGAAACTAAGCACTCAGAACTCACGCATAACGAAGTCACCCTGGTGATGTGAGTTAGATCAGCCAATAAGTGAGCACCACACTGAAAGAAAAAAGTACTCAGGTAAACTGAGTTGTCAATACTCACTAACGTAATACTCACTGTACTCAGTGCAAAACTAAGGTAATACTAAGGCCCTACTAAGGTAATGTTGGTAACAGGGTGAGTTTTTATACTTGAGTTACTAATGCAATACTCACCACAGTAACGACCGTACTCATGCACTATCCACCCTACGAACGTCATTACTCACGTTAGAACTCACCCTACCAACTTCATTACTCACGTTACCAATATCGATACTCATTTGATTTAGCAACCCAACCAACGATGTTACTCAGGCAATGCTCACCGCTCTTACCAACCACCGTACCAACGCATTTCCGAGGCCAGGCATAAATTCGGTTCAGAAATAAACGTGTATTGCAGTGACAGGCCATCCACATCATCCACCAGTCGGTCGTCGGTCTGGCCCATCCTGCCCACCTGGGATCTACCTGGGTCCCTGCGAACCACCCGTTATCAACATCAGGCCATCCACATCATCCACCAATCGGTCGTCGGTCTGGCCCATCCTGCCCACCTGGGATCTACCTTGGTCCCTGCGGCCCACTCGTAATCAACATCAGGCCATCCACATCACCCACCAGTCGGTCGTCATCATTGCTTCTCCAAATCCTGAGCCTGTTCCACCGCCCGCAGGCCGGGTTGCGCATCTTCCACCGGTGTTTGGAATATATACTTCCGAAGGAACCACGATAGGTTTTGGACATTTTTGGTCGAATACATAAAACGATGCCCCCACATCAGGAGGGCATCCGAAGCAGTTTGGCATGCAAAGAATGTATCACAGTTGAATATTCCAAGTATAGCAACAAAAAACTAGTTCATTCTTCAACAAATCAACTCACCCATATCAATATCTTCCTCCTAACAATCCACAAACAGACGCCAATATACAACGCGCGGCGGGCGGCGCAATGGCGGAACTGGCGGGGGAGACGACGCTGCTGTTCGAGCATGCGCACTAGATTGACCAATCAGAGGCCGGAATTTCGTACTAACAGCAGGAGTACTCACCATTAGCCACGATCATGTGCATAAATACTATAGCATCGATGAGTATGCTCATGTTCCTGAGTAACATTTGCACATGATTACCAAAGTGTGTTGGTGAATGCTGCGTATTGCTACTCATGCACACACAATACGTGAGTTTCAACCTGAGTGTTTTCGTTAGTTTGCCTTACTTGAGTAAACTTTTTTTTTCAGTGCACTATCTTATTCACTGAGTTTCTTCATGAGTTATTACTGAGTAATGCCTGGCCTGAGTAAAATTTTTTTTCAGTGCAGATCCTCAGGCCCTCACCTCCTCGCTTCCGGACCACGACAATCGGAGACAACCAGGGCGAAGAGCCACAGGGTACCTTCTCGATGACTCCTTGGGCTTCCAGGGACTCCAGATGGTCACTGACCTCCTGCCTCACAGCGTACGGTAGAGTCCTCAGGTGTGGCGCGCTGGGCACAGCTCCGGGAATCAGACGCACCTTGTGGACGAATCCCTTGATGGCTGGCAGCACCTGATCCTGCTTCACCTGGCAGACGACACTGCCACGGCTCACCGTGACTCCGAGCTGATGCTGGAGATCACGGCCCATGATCGGTACATCACCCACCGCCACGTACAGTTCCGCTGGAACGGAGAGCTGGTCCGGTCCTGTGACGTCAGCTGACATCTTACCCAGCACCTTAATGCCGCTGCCGTTCCACTGGGCGAGCTTACCCGCAGGACGGAGAGGGACGTGACTGAAGAGCTGCCAGTACGTCCTCGCTGGGACGATGCTGACCGCCGAGCCGGTGTCAACCAGCATCCTGACACGCTTCATCTCAATGAAGGCATCATAGTACGGGCACGACACTGTCTGAACGACCGGACATACGTCATCCTTAGCAGACACGGACAAAATCTGCACATTGTCAACAGCACCGGTCTTGTTAGAACGAGGACAACACTTGCTTAAGTGTCCGACAGTGTTACACTTGAAACATTTCAGGTTCCTCGCTCTGCACTCCTTGTCATTTGCCCAGTGACCCGGTCGACCACAGGCACGACACGTACCTGACTTCTTCACAGGAGGCTGACGCTGCGTCTGCTTACGCGCTGAGTCACTGCGGCTCGTGCTGCGCCGCTGCCCAGTATACGCCACCTCCACCGCAGGAGCTGAAGGTGAAGTCGCACCGGCAGATGAGTCGTGCAGTAGAGCTTTTCGCTGCAAGCCCCGGTCGTGGGCCTCGGCCACAGCCTCTAGCTTGGAGAGAGATAGGTCATCAATCATTATCAGCTTGTCACGAAGCTGGTCAGAGCGACAACCCTCGATAAACTGATCACGCAGTATGTCGTCAGTCAGAGCACCATAACTGCAACAGGCCACTGCCTCGCGGAGGTTGGCCAGGAAAATCACACATGACTCATCAGGGCCTTGGGTGCATTTCCGGAATTTCAAGCGAGCAGAACGAACATCAGAATCGCTCTCAAACAGTTTCTTGAAAACAGCTACAGCAGCATCGAACTGAGACACAATTACAGCACCAGCGCCGCCGGCGTCAGTGTCACTTACTCCAGGTTCGATGTTCTCCTGCTTGGTAGCTGAAGCAGCAGCTCGGTAGAGTCGACGTGCCTCCGCTCCGACTGCTGTCAACAGGAACGCTGTCCGACGACCGTCCGTCCAGTCCAACCACCCGCTGGCCTCAGCGAAGACCAGGAAGTCCTCGTACCATTGTCGCCAGCTCCCAGGACGCTGTCCCGGCCGCGACAGGAACTCCGGTGGCGCCGGTGACTGGAACATGTCGTCTTGAATGCAGTCCGCTTATCTCAGCCTCTTGTCGCCACTTGTAGTGTATTGCACTCACACATACATCACTCGCACTCAAGACTGAACAGTGAACATTCAACTCGACTAATGTGCTCCGCGCCCTTGCCGACGGCTCGCCGGCGGGCACCCGACTCCGTCTCCCGGCCGGCCCGGGCGCGGCGCCGCGGCGCGGCCGTCCCGGTTACCTGACCCAGCCGGCTAAAGGTCGGACCGGCTCCGGCCGCCGCTGCCAGCCCACGGCGGGCCCGGGGAGGGGTACTACACTACAGTGGGGTAACACCGCCATGCTCGGCGGTGCTACCCCAAGGGGTGGCAAAATGGATAAAGCCGCAATGATGACTCACTCAGCTCGGAGAAGAGCTTTAGTTAGGCCGCAAACGTCGTCTGTTTTTTAACCTCACGTTCGACTTCACTGGATGTTTCGAAATAAGCGTGAATTTGCCAGGCTTTGTATGCATATTGTCCGCACCAAACAGTCTGATCTGTGACAAACTAACAACCAACTCTTGTGTGTCTTAACCCTCGCATGTGTGCGGCGTTTGCCAGCTTCTAATGTGTAGGGGGGGGGGGGTCGGTTGGACCCCCCCCCCCTTGCCGTTTGGCCCCTGATCGAGCTAGAGCTTCGCGGAAAAAACGAGCGTGTTGCCCGTGACGAGAGGAAGCCGATGATACCCAATTTTAAGGTCCTAGGTCATTGGTTGACCTTCCAGGTCAGGTCAATGACCCAAAGTCGGGAAAATCGGGACCTGTTAGAAAGTCGTAAAGTGTGGCTGCTAAGGGGTTTTTCGGGGTGCTGATCACGAATATCGTGTTAGTTTTGATCACAGATGATGTCTTGAAGCATTTAGACCTGTTCGGGTCAGGTCAGGTCAGGTCAACCAGTAGGCGTCGTGACGGGTATTCGTAGTACGTGTCAACCGCCTCTGACAGCTTCGTAACATGTTACGAAGTCACCAAAACTACTTCGTAAATGTTCAAATGGTTGCTAAATTCGAATTCAGCTCCAAAAACTAGCCTAGAAACATGTAAAACTCGAAAAAGTGACCCGAGGTCACCCGAGGTCACCAAAGGTCAATGACCTGACCTGACCTTCAGGTGACCTTGACACACACGGGAGTAACATCAAATCACATGTTTGAACGTTTGAAACCACGAAAAGCTTGCAAACACGCGGCTAGTGCGAGCCGACATACGCGGAATCGCGATTTCGGCCAAACATGGTCTCGGAAAAGAGGTCACAGGTCAAAGGTCATTTGGGTCAGGGTCATGAAATTTTCAGGGTAGGTGTAAAATTGATCAATGCGAGGGTACTGAAAGTTTCGTCGCGATCTGCCGCTTTTTACGCGAGTTATTCGCGAAAAACAATGGGGGGGGGGGTCCATCCGACCCCCCCCCTACACATGCGAGGGTTAAATGAGTATGAGTTACTATTTCAGACAGCAGTAACGCTACCAAGGGCGGCTGTCAGTTGTCACCGTAAGGCCGATCTGTGGATAACACCACCATCGGTGGCGGTGCTACCCGCACATTTTTGGAGGACGAAAAATGCAGGACTTGTTTTCGACGTCTGTAAAGTAGCGAAATTTTATAATGGAGCGCTGGAAACTTTGCCAACATGTAGGAAAACATTCCTACTTTCACATGAATGCAAAAGAGCTTCGTTTTAACTACGCTTCGCGTTTTAACTTCCTGACGGCGCCGGAGGCGGCGCTGGGACCGTCGCAGTGGAGACAGGCGACGGCGGAGCGGCCGAAGTCGACGTAGGTGGAGACGTCTGGAACGACTCTGCCGGAAATGCCTCTAACGTCGACGTCGAGGACGCCGGAAACATGGAAGGCCCGTACCGCACGCGAGCGGGACGGGCAACGAGGCGCTGGTGGAGATGAGCGCTTCGGGGGGAAGGGAATGTAGTGTAGTACCCCTCCCCGGGCCCGCCGTGGGCTGGCAGCGGCGGCCGGAGCCGGTCCGACCTTTAGCCGGCTGGGTCAGGTAACCGGGACGGCCGCGCCGCGGCGCCGCGCCCGGGCCGGCCGGGAGACGGAGTCGGGTGCCCGCCGGCGAGCCGTCGGCAAGGGCGCGGGGCACATTAGTCGAGTTGAATGTTCACTGTTCAGTCTTGAGTGCGAGTGATGTATGTGTGAGTGCAATACACTACACCCACACACAGTCATGGACCGATAACGTCCCGACGGGAAAACAAGCCGGGACGCGATTCTTCTGTAATTCCTTTCTCAACGAAGAGCACTTCATGCCCTCAAATTTAACGTAAAAATCGAGGTATTTTGACTTGAAATGACCACTTACTTGGTGCTAAACAGACATGTGCTTGGATCCGAGAGCTGGATCTATGATCTCAGTGGATCTCTCGACAAAATAGAGGGGTTGGATCTATGATCCGAGTGGATCTCTCGACAAAATTCAGGGGTTGGATCTATGATCTGAATGGATCTCTCGACAAAATTTAGGGGTCAGATCTATGATCTCTGTGGATCCAGCGGGCTAAAATTTGTGGAGGACCTATGATCTGTATGGATCTCACGACAACATGTAGCCAATGAAACCCTTATCCTACATAATTGTACACCTTACAGTGCAATACAATTGAGAATTATCACTTGTGGACATGGTTATTGGTTAAGACCACTTGTGATCATTAGGTATCATCATTAAATTTGAATTTAAATAAACAACATTTGTACTACATTTAAAATAAACCAAGAACATGCATATTGCTACTTTTTGTGACCAATTGTAACTTTTTCATGACAGCACTGATGACAATCTTATCAACAAGCTACAGCCACTTTAATTCAAAGAACAAACAGTACAGACAGATGCAGTGGCAGCAGGGCACTGCAGATTTTCATTTTGGTCCCATTCTTTCTGCAACGCCAGTAGGGCTAATGCTAAAATGCCAAACTCTATGGGGGGCACTGTACCCTGGTGCCACACCCCCCTCCCTGTTCTGCCGCCTATGGACAGATGTTAGGAAATCAAACCTGGAAGCCAAATAGGTCAGTTTTGTTAAAAATAATCCAGCAATCCACTTCTGCCAGGTATGAAATCCCAATCCAGAATGTTCATATGAGCTATTAGTATGTGCAACACAATTTCGATTTAGTAAGAATAGCAACCAACCTC